CGGATGGATGGAGCAAGAAAGTGAAGGGGGAAGGTATTCTCAAGTAAAGAAGCCCGCTGGCGGGTTAAAATCTCTTAAATTGAAATCTTCTGAACAATGTTCAGTCGAGAACATTATTGATTTGGCAATTGCTGAGTTCAAAACCAGTTGTTTCAATAATTATTTTGATCATTTCACGGTGAAGTTGGGAACATTTAAGGGTCAGACAATCGCCAAAGATATACAGAAGGCAAATCTTGTGACTTGTGGTCGTATATTGCTGCCCAAGGATCAATCCCATCTAAATTTCGCGTCTACCTACTCACACACCCAAAGGACTTATCGCTTTCTCCGAATAAGAGTTTAAAAGGAAAGCTCTCGAAGATCACTCACAAGACTGCTGTATCCAATAAGAATGAAGACATTTCCAATGTTAAAATTGATGCACAAAAGTCCCTGGCTAAAGGCTCGACAGGTCACGTTATACCTGATGGAGAAGTTTTTGAGCGGATTGTGACTAACTATAGTCCAGATTACTCCGTTGGGAGTTTGGAGTCCACTGCTTTTGATGATTCAAATTCGCTGGCGAAAGTACAGGTATCAATCGATAAAGGAGATGTAGAGGTTGTCACTCCAGCCTCAGTACTGGAGAACAGTGGGGCTGAGCCATCAAGACGTATTGTTTGTGAACAATTTCAACCGAAAGTTCTCAACTTGGAGAAATATCAAGGGTAAGATTCTGAGAAGTCTTCGACTATCCTGAAAATCAATTCCGTTGATATGGATTTTCTGTACGTCAAGATCTCGACATTCTCTGGAGAACTATCTTGGAGGGCTGCCACGAAAGAAATTTTATGGGATGAAGAATATAAGCACGTTCCGGATCTGTCCTGCGATTATAATGATTTCTCTCCTCTGCAATCTGGTTTCGACGCTTTCCAGGTCAAAGTTAATGAGACAATCCTCTTGGCTAGTGAGAACGATGATTTTGCAAATTTGAAATATTGTTTCCCAGAAGCTGATACAAGTGTACTTGTGCCTCACAGTATTTTATATACCCCAGTACACTTGAATGGTAGTCACAGCGGTAATTATGATATTGGTTGTATCCCCACTTGCTTAGGTACATGTAAGTCTATGTTCACGTGGTATAAAAATGGGGAGGTTTATCAACGTGGCCGAGGTTTATTTTGGATAGAAATTACAAATCCAGAGGATTTCAAGCATAACTTTTGGTGCGCTGTTGAATGTTGGGATTCGAAGCCTCAGTCTCCATTTCCAGATGAGTCTGCCCATTCTAACAGTTCACCTCCTGATCCAGAAGTTCCTGAGGAGAAAGCCCCTTCGTCTTCATCCAGTGATAAAGGTGAATGCATCTTCTCTAGATACCGTATTCGTAATTTTGATCTGACTCGTGCAGTTCCTGTAAAATATAAATGTATGGGCCAATTTTTACTTTAGCAAATAATGAAGTTCAAGTTCAATTCTACGGAAACGAAAACAGCACCAATGAGAGTAATCTATTTCATTAATATTCATCATCATCGATTGAAATAACAAAATACTCTTTCAAACAATCTATGCATGTGTTTTAGATTCTCAACATATCCGTCAGTATTAATTGAATCGGTGATGTAAATGTCTAATCAAACTTGATGAACGCTAAAGCAGTAGAAATAATTTTGCTTTCGTGGCTGAAGCACTCAAAAATATTCCTTCTCCTGAGAAAGTCCTTCCTCCTCAGAGTCTGGTCCACTATTATGAAAACATTCTTAGTTCACTTGTCATGCCCCAGATTTGGTCAATTGCGTTATTGTTTAATATGTGGACATACAGCATTGTCAGCGTGACACTTGCCAGCGTAACTGGATTATGCCGACCAAGTGATGAAATGTAAACAATCAATGTATTATTTATGAGACGATTGGGTCTGCACAGAACAGACCTGAATTTGACTCCGACGCGTACAAAAGTCGTAAGCTCTTTGTAATCAGTCAGATGACATAGTAATTATAATCATGTAATAAATTCTCATATTTAAATACCGATAAACCATTGGTGGGATTTATCCCTTTAAGCCTAGAACCTACTATAAGTACCCCCCACGCTGGGTACAACATTTGGTGGCAGCGGTGTTTGGCTACAATAATAAGGTATTTAAATTTTCACGTCGACGTAATGAGTGAGGTCCGCATTAAATTCTGAAATCTACGTACGGACCGACGTACTATTGAAACCAAGTCTACGTAGGGAACGACGTTGCATTTTTTTCGGGTGATCACGGAACACGTGTCAGCAAATAGCTGAGCGGCCGATGGACTTCGGATTGCAGGATTTCAGTGAGTCAACTTGAGGATACCATTGATATACCTGGGCTACTCGGAGAAGTAAGCATTCAACGAACTACTTGGAGAAGTAGATATCGCGGCTACTTGGAGGAGTAAGCATTGAACAAGCTACTTGGATTAGTAGGCAATATTGCAGGTTTTAGGTGGGTCATTGTAACGTGACTCGGGGATACCTGGGCTACTTGGAGGAGTGGATAGTAAATAACGGCAAAGGCAAATGAGTTTTGAGGGCAGATCTGGACACGTAAGTCGAGATAATTTTCGATTACGTAGATCAAACTCGTTGGACTCAGCGGTGCCAGGAGCCGGAGAGGAACTTGCGGGAATATTGCAAGAAGTTACCTTCAGAGCAAGGCGGAATTGGACAGATCCGGATTGGTCTGGGGAAAATATACCACGAGTAAGGCAGCAACGGATGGCTGATGCACTTGGTCATTTTGGAGTGAATCTGCGGAGACATTATTCATTCAATTCGGACGATAGTTTATCCGACGTAGATATGAATTCACCTCACGGTTTAAGAGACGCCGTCAGTGCTGAGATGGAATGTATGCGGAGAAATTTCAAAAGACGACACGGAGGCAATGACCAAGGCTAGAATTTGGGAGCTGTGAATGGATTAGCGAACAATGTATCACCTGAAAGACCAACGAGACGTCATGATCAGTTAAGGAGAAACTACGAGGATTTAGTCGCGTGACACAATAGGTTGTTAGAGCAAGTCAATGCAAGACTAGATGGTTCGGAAGAAATGCGAGAAATCATCAACCGACGAAACGAAGAAATTGGTGTAACGCGTTTAGCGGAACAAGCCGCAGAAGCGAGGGCCAGAGCATCAGAAGCAAGAGCTGAAGCAACTGAAGCGAGAGCTGAAGCAGCAGGAGAAATATCAGAACGAGCTGGAAGAGGGCAAGACCGGGCCTGGCTGCGGAATCGGCGACGTACTAATTTTGGTGAGGATGATTACAAAATTGACGTTACTTTAAAAATTATCAAGGAGTTTGACAGTAATGACCCAACACAACTGGAGGGGTTTTTGCGAAATTGTAAGTTGGTATTTTCCCGTGTACGAGAACGAGATCATCCATATGTATTGGAACTGATTTTAACCAATAAATTGACGGATCGTGCTATGCGGGACATGAAATACAAGGAAATCTAAACAATGGAGCAATTGGAGACAGAGTTGGAGAGTCTGTATGGTACGAAAAAATCCATCGATTCGTTACAAATGGAGTTATCCACTTTGAAACAACGAGAATGAGAATCTGTAAGCTGCTATGGTTCAAGGACTGAGAGTATTACAGCAGAAGTGGTGGACGAGTTATCGAAAACCAAGGAGATACTAGCTGAGAAACGAACGGTGGAGGATGCCATTAGATAGCTAGCAAAAGCAAGCTTCGAGACTGGATTGCGCGGACAGCTACAGGTGCTTGTAAGGGCCAGGGCTTTCAAAACACTGCATGAATCAGTCATTGGAGCTAATGATTTAGCTAAAACATCGAATTTGCAATCAGGAAAGCCAGGAGTTTTTGATGGGCAGAGGGTAGAGAAAACTTTTTACAGGTGCAACTTGGCTGGTCATTTTTCAAGAGACTGTCCCACTCGCGAGGGTTCCACAAGGCTTCCTCGAGAAGAGGGAAAGAGAACATCGGTAATGCCGTTTGGAGCTGTTTGTAAATACTGCAAATATTCGGGTCACTAGGCAGTGGATTGTCATAAGCTGAGAAACAAACTGCGACTATCAGACGATCAGGCGATTCTTGTGCGAAAGAAAGAATCAGGCACTGCGAAACCACGTAATTTTGAAGGAAGTAATGAGAGCTTAAAACTGCCAGTAGGAGCATTCCAGATTTGTTGAAAATTTATTCTTATTAGTGAATTGATTTAGAGAGAGAAATTCAATTTTAATTGTTAAAATTTTGTTATCGATGATAACAAATTTTTTATTTTAAAAGGGGAGGAATGTTATGCCCCCGATTTGGTCAATTGCGTTATTGTTTAATATGTGGACATACAGCATTGTCAGCGTGACACTTGCCAGCGTAACTGGATTATGCTGGCCAAGTGATGAAATATAAACAATCAATGTATTATTTAAGAGACGATTGGGTCTGCACAGAACAGACCTAAATTGGACTCCGACGCGTACAAAAGTCGTAAACTCTTTGTAATCAGTCAGATGACATAGTAATTATAATCATGTAATAAATTCTCATATTTAAATGCCGATAAACCATTGGTGGGATTTATCCCTTTAAGCCCAGAACCTACTGTAAGTACCCCCCACGCTGGGTACAACATACTATTACGTTCAGAGTCCTTATTTCATTTTTATTTCAGTCAAGACTGGAGACTCTTCCCAGCGAAACACCAGGAGCGTCATCGATGATCTTCCAACCGAAGGAATCTTCAGTAGCCTCAATAAACAGATTGCCCTCCCACAAATTACCAAGGCAGATCTGGTGTTCACGAAGGAGATTCTGGGTGGTGGATCCCAAGGAAAAATAACGAAAGGGTTTTACCATGGGACTCCTGTCGCAATTAAGTCAATCAAATTTATCCAAGTGGTACTGAAGTTTGCCAGGAGGGAACTGGATATTTTGGCTGAGGTGAAGCACCCGAATATTGTCCTCTATTTTGGAGTATGTGAAGAGAAAAAATCACATCGTGATGGAGTTCATTGACAGGATCACATTGTATGACTTTCTGTACGATGATGAATATCGTGCAGAATATATACTCGATTCAAATAAGAAGCATACACTGGCTCATCAATTGACCCAGGCAGTTAATTATCTCCATAAGAAACTCACTCCAATCATTCAAAGAGACATTAAGCCAGAGAATATCATGATAACCAAACACTGGTCCCTGAAACTAGTTGATTTGGGGCTGAGCAAATGTTTGACAAGTGTTGGTGCATCGAGAACAACTGTAGGGACAACTCTGAAAGGAACAGCCCCTTACATGCCCCCTGAAATGGTTCTGCATTATGACGACGCCTCAGTTTTCTCTGACATTTGGGCTGTTGGCTGTACAATTGCGGAGATGTACACTGAGTCTCCAGTTTGGGAGCTAGATGAAGATTATGAAGTTCGTCTGAAAGAGAAAATGCTCGATCACGAAATCCCAAATTTCGATGCAATTCCAGAGGAGCTGAAAGAATCACTTGAAGACTATTTCAAGTACATCCCACAAGAACGATCTTTATCCCTTTTGATGTGCACTTTTTCTAATATCCTTTGTCGTGTGTAGCTTTTGAAGACTGTTACGCACGAAAAAAATTTACACAAAAACCTAATGAATTTACTGAAACACTCCTATTGAATGTTTATAGGAATTCTATTGATGATTCCATTAGCTTTTTGCTGACTCTATTGCAAAATTCGGTCGATTTTTTTTTCTCTTGATAGTCTGCTGCTTTCCAGAACGTTTTTAATCAATAGCAATATCTAATGGAAATATTGTTTATTAAAAAAAAATAGATTCTCATTTTTCTGTGTCATAAATTGTCTGTCATAAAGTCAGTAGTTACTCACAACTCAAAAGAACTGATATACATTTGATAATAATATAAATTTCATGTTGAAGAATAATTTATCGACATAAAATTTATTTCATTTCTCTTGAGGTTTCTTGAATCTGAAAAAAGCACCAAAAAAATTGAAGTACAAAAAATACAGTCAAAGAATTCTTATTTTTGACCAAAAAATCAATTCAAAGCAATTCAAGACAAAACAAAAATTTTGGGTACAAAATATAGAAACAATATCGTTCGATTTCTTTATTTGTTAGCCACATCTCATTAGCACTTCCATGATTTTCAAAAATTAATTATTAACAAAAATGAACTATAGATATATTTTAATCTGCTGCGGTAGTAATTTAGTTTAGCTTGAGGTACCGGCAACTCATTCGTGGTATATTCTTAGTTCTATTGGAAAAGTGCAGAAAAGCTGCAGAATTTGCCAATAAATTCATCGAAAAACTAATAAAATTGTCGTTAGAAGAATCTTTCAGTGAATTCGTTAAATATTTCTATAAACATTTTTCATGCATGTCTAGGGTAAAAATTGTTCCTTCTTCATCGAGCAGTAGAAATATGTCACAAAGCAATTCCATACGCGCAATTTATAAAGCACTAAATGTGGACTGATAATAAGAAATGGACTCATAGGATCCATGTCTTAGGAAGGTGAGCAATGATCACGTGCTTTAAGTGAAGCAAAGTCTAGATTCAACTATAGAAGTGATAAAAAAATATGTTTTATGTTCATGCGTAATTTTCATGTTTTTATCGTCAGTAAATTTCTCTAAATTCGGTCTATTTTTCAATAAAACTAATAACGTTAGATTGCAAAGGTCATAGGAAGGATTCTTGAGCATCAAAGCAGTGGATCCTCGTAATAATTAATCTGCTGACTGGGGACCATAAGACTGCTCGGTATCTCGGAAAATGTTAGTTTTAGGAATTGTGATATGTCTATAATTAAACGCATAATTTGTAATGGAGCAAATGGATGATTTTTATAATGTTAGTATTTCGATCTCAGAGTCATGAACGTATTAATCTGTGATACGACGTACTACACATTACGCTGTGCATCTCATACAAATTAACATAAGAAGCTTTAGTCTCTAGTTTAAAAAATAGAAATAGACGAGGAAAGAATAATAATAATCCAGGCATAAACAAACGACGACGAAAATGGAGTAATATTTGTCACATTTTCAAAATGATGAGAGTAATCAAAAAGAAAAACAGATATGAATTTTCTCTTTGTTGATTGGTCGTCTTTCCAAGTCCAGAAATATTCGTTTCAGATATTTCTGCAAATTTTTCAGGATAGAATGAAGTTTGGGGTCCAAAGAAATATGATAAGACTCGCAATAATCAAAAAAAAAAAGAGTTGCAAAAAGGAAAGAAGCTATGAAGATTTCCATCTTCATTACGTGTTTCTTGATTTTATTTGTGTTTGTTAAATGGTCTTCCTGAAATGACATGCATGAGGATAAAAAAAATTTGGAAGATATTTTTTTCAATAAAAATGAATCAGTCTTCCGAATAAACGGAGGGAAAGATAGTTACAACAAAAGGGACAATGTGGAGAGTTCAATGGTCATTAGATGTTCTTTTTTATTTCATTTGTGTTCACCAATATTCTTCATGGAGTTCTCCGAATTTGAATAAAAGTAGTTTGATAAAATACAGCGGTGTTGATTCCTCTTATGCTCTGATCACCATCTTCAAGGACATTAAATAGTAGCCCTCAATTTCCAAATAAAATTGGACAGCCTACCAGAACCAATTCCTCAAATTGATCAGAAAAAACTTTCAAGAACGTATGAACCTGGCGCATTCGCTAGGAAATTCTATTCGATTTTCATTAAACATTCTATTCGTTCTGTAGCGCATTCTGCTGAAGATTATTTCCACTTTTGATTTTTATAAATAGTCAGAATCAAATAAAGTTTTTTGTAACGAGGAAAGTCCATAGAAACAAATTTCAATTGAATAGTTGACGGAGAAATAAAAATCTGTTTTTTGTTTTCTATAAAACTCTTCCACTGAATGTTTACATTCATCAAACGAATTTTCAATAGATTTTCCTATGAAATTGCCTATAATTTTCTATGAAAATCTTAAACTTATTTTCAAAAGCTGTAAAAATAGGGGATGAAATCAATTTGCTCTATGCCAATAAGGATGTTATTGCCTCAAATTAATTTCCGTCATTATTATGTGTTTCATTCATCATTACATTCCTAATTTTTTACAAGTTCCATGAGAGTAATAAATAGCTTGAGAGCCTCATCGACAGAAGTGGGCTGCTCTATATCTGGCTTCAGTAATACCACTAGTTCACTGAATAATTGATCAATTAAAACGTGTGTAGAAGAATAGTCTGTTTTTAGATCTTCAAGCGTATCTAGATGCAGTTCTCGCTGATAATCAATTCCACCGAAGGCTCCAGGAATATAAAACAAGCAATTAGGTCTTCCCACTGGTAATTCTGTTTGCTTTTGCTTGCGGATTGTGTGTCGATTCCATGCGTCCTCAATTAATTTCAATTCACTACGGATGAGAGGTCCGAAATAATAGCGTAAACATTCCACAGCAACGAGATCAGCATCTTTTAAGATTCCCTCATCCCTAAGACCTTTAAAAAATGAGATATAAAAGTCAGCTCCATGCTTGCGCATCTGGGACCAGTAGGCTTCAATTCGCTGATTCGAGGTACTTTTTCCCTTGATGAAGCTGCTGGGGCCAGCAAACTTGTTATCGTGATCGGTACGTAAAGCTATTTGCAATGACTCCACCATACAATTTTCAGTTCCTAGATCGGATCGAATCAGATTAGGCAAGAACTTCAATCTTAGAATTCTTCTCAAGAAATAGGAAGCTATTATCTTAGGATTATTGTTGGAGCGAGCAACATCCAGCCATAGAATCTTTCGAGAGAAACCATCGATACAACCGTGAATAGCAAACCCAAAAGGTTTCAATTTATCGTGGCCATAAATGTGCCACAAGAAATTAGGACCAGGAACGATATAACGCCGTCTCTTCAACTTATGTCTAGCTCTCTGAAAAATTTCTTCTGGATCTGCAACCCTCAGTACACTGAGAAAAAGAATTCTACAGCCAAGTAATAGTATATTACGCGACAAGTGCGGGAAGCAAGCGCTTACGCACGAAGGTGGCTACGCCCTCGTGCGTAGCCGCTTGCTGCCCGTACGAGTTGCGTATACTATTTTATACCATAAGTGCGTGCGCGGCAAAAAGGGGCCGGGGGGGAAGAAGGGGGTCCAGGGGGCGAAGCCCCCCGGTAGGATCCAGGGACGGAGTCCCTGGTGGGGTCGAGGGGCGAAGCCCCCGCGGGGTGCAGAGGCGGAGCCCCTGCTGGGGGGGTTGGGGGGGCGAAGCCCTCCATCACTGAAAAACAAAAAAAATCAAAATCAAGATCAAAAATGAAAAAAAAGTTCGGACTTGGAAATTGTTTAAAATCAAATTTCTCAATTTAATTGGGTGAAATTTCATAGACAGTCTTGTATTTATGAACCGATTTTTCGGGGATCAAATTATTCCTCACTTCTTGTCCTGATTTCGAAATTTCTGGTGGAAGATTTTCATCATTCCAGTTGTTATTTTCATCATTTTCATCATCCAGACACAGCTTTTTATTTGGCGGAGAACCGACGGTTGCTTCGGTGAGGAATGTCGAATCTCCATCAAATAAATCTCCCGAGAGATCAATCTCCTCATCACTGTCGGGTATGATGTGGTTGTCCATTTAATTTCACTGCTTTTATATTGAATAAATGAATAAATTTAACGGCAGAATATTGAGAGGGTTATGTGGATACCAACAAGTGAGGCAGTGGGCGATGTTATGAGTCGATGCGCAATGGATGTGTGGAATCCAACGATGATATTGCAACGACCATTTGCGCATCGATCTGCGCATCGACCGGTGCATTTGCGCAGGCTCATGGATTACGCACGGGATTATACACGCACGCACGCACGGCCCAGAAAGTGCCGGGTTTCACACTGTAGATGTGTGGAACCCTACACATCTACAGTGTGAAACCCGGCACTTTCTGGGCGTCGACACTGAACTGAAACCGGCCGTATTTCACGCACGTATGGTATAAATTTACTTGCGGCTAGTAAATTTACTTGGCTGTAGAAAATTAAATGCAAATATTTACACGCATTTACTTGTCTCTAGTAGATATACTTGGCTGTAGAAATTTTTTTTCTCAGTGTACCTCCACGACGGTATTGCGTTTCACATTCAACCCGTAGGTGTGTTTTAAACGTTGCCACAAACGTTTATACCCTAAACAAGAACCATTTCCGTCCAATTCTGTGATGATATGAGTGCAAATCTCTTCCAATGGGTCCTCCGTTAGCCCTTTACGTTTAAGACCGTACGAAACTAAAATTCTCTTCAATTGTCGAGTGGAAAGCTGAATGCCATGTCGATCACTCAAAAAATTAGTGATCTCTTGGTAGTTGTATCCTTCATGAAAATACTTTATAATGTATTTATCACAGGTGCATTCCGTGTGCTTATCCTCTGCTCCAGAAACATCCATTAAGCTTCTATCAAGGCAAAAAAGAGGTCTGTATAAAAAGATGATCAGTTTGTATAAGTTCAAAATCCATGCTAATTCATGATCAGCGAAATGAATGAATGCAAAATGATACATGATGTAGAAAATTGAATAGCATGACAAGTCAAATG